GTTTGGCTTTGCAACATGTTTCCTCAAGAAGAAATTCGACGAACAGCAAAACATTAAAGTTATTAATTTAGCTTGATAAACAAATATTGATCTGATGGTGACAAGTGAAAAAAGATGGCTGCACTCATGCTTCATGAGTGATGGATACATTTGTATACAAGTAACAGCTGAACCACTGCATTCAGTCTACTCTTCTACTACATACAGTAAAAATTACACTTTTTGTCATGTTTATCAAGGAAAATAGAGGAACGTTTCTGGGGCTATATGTGGCAAAAGTGTTACATTCCATAGTTCTCATCTACGCAGGGTCCACTTTAGAACATCATTAAATGCACACTCCAGATCCCTAAACACATTTCAGCTTCCTGAAAAGCTTTGTGTGTGAAGAGCATGTCTTCTTTTTTTCAGTGCAGATTTCAATAGAAATTTATGCTTTTATAAATTAACCTGGTTACACCCCCTGGCTTTCACGCATCCTATTGTGTTACTTTTAGTTTGGTTAGCGCAATGGAGATAAATTCAAAAGGCAGCAATTAACCTGAGCACCTGCCTTGCAAATACTTCTCATTGAGCTGCATTGGGAAGTCAGTGATTGGACAGCCACAGAAAATCTGGGTGGGGCAAGATGGGAAGGGCTTGCAAAGGCTTCAAATAAGAGAACTGTAGGTTTTGCAAGCTCTTTTTAGATATACTACCAATGAAAAATATACATATTTAAATGCATGCAAGTTTTCATTGGGGCAATATCTCCTAATCAGTGATTTTTGTTTATTTTGTATTTGGGCACTGGAGTGTCCCTTTAAGTGTCAGATTCAGAAGTCAGTGTTGCATTGGTTTTCTGTCTCAGTGCTGATTTCTGACTGAAAAAATGGTATGCAACTCTGACTATTGACTTGTGATTCTGACTCTTAACTGAGTCAGATACTAGAGTGAAGATTCTGGATTCAGAGTAAGGAATCAGGTCATATGGAAATGAGATATAACACTGACGTCTAACTTTTGTTGCACAGTCAACAATCCAAGCTTGAGAAAGGCTCTTTTTTGAGCTAAAACGTTTCTAGATCCTAAATAAAGAACTGAGCCACATTTGCCCATACTCTTTATGTGTTAGATCATCTGCATGGAAATTCACCCTTCCTGACTGCTGGAAGTGTCCATAAAAAGGACACTATAGTCACCTGAACAACTACAGCTTAATGTATTTGTTCTGGTGAGTAGAATTATTCCCTTCAGGCCTTTTGCAGTAAACACAGTTTTTTCAGAGAAAGGGCAATGTTTACATTACAGCCTAGGGATACCTCCACTGGCCACTCCTCAAATCGCTACTAGAGGTGCTTCCTGGGGCAGTACTGCAACATTCAGTAATTGGCATATTCGGGTAGATTTGCATATTGCTAATTCTGCAGGCAGGAGAGATATTTTGTGTTAATTATTGCTTTCCTACCCCTTTATAAATATGTTGTTATGTTATAATAAGTTCCTGCATGTTTTCTGATATGATTTAGTTTATTGTATTTTATTGAGTTTGTCAGAGCAAGGTTGATGTAACGAACATATGGGCTAGTCCCAAGTAAAATAAAGTATTGTATGTTAGTTCCATTCAGAACTCGGTGTTCTGTGTAGATTTTTAGGGGTCCCAGTCACAAAGATGTCATACCTGTTGGCTGGCTGTATGATCCCCCTAGCTCTGGGATGACTCAAGAGAGATAGGCCTGAGAGCCGCAAGTGCCTTTATAAAGACAATAGCAAGCACTATAAGCAGAGCTGCAAAGGAAGAGGCTGAGGGGACAATACCTGTCTGGTACTGCAGCCTGTAGGGTGGAAAAGCTCCAGAGACACCCTTGTCGAGCCTCGGCGACTGAGGTTGAAGCGCTCCAGGCTCCTTCTCCAAGTCTAGAAAGTGGATTGGGCAGAGGTACTTGGTTGAAGTACAGAAGCCTAGTCACATTTTCACTATGCAGAATGTTAGTTATTTATAACAAGTAAGAAGTCTCTTTCAGATTGTTGGACACCCCAATAGAATTTTAAACTCTCCCATCCAGTAGTGTCTTGTCCACCACTTTTTTTTATTCATAGAGACGCATTACAGACCATACTGCAAATACATAGGATCACAATACTGTGTTCAATATCGTCAGCAAGCCGAATGTGAAGACTGTCAATTTTTTCAGTCTTCATCAAGAATTGCCTCTAGTGGTCGTTTGAATGATAGTCACTAGAGGCACACATATGGCAATGCTTAAATTTGTCACACTGCAGGGACAGCATGTATGCATAAATACCATTGCATTAAGCATTAGCAAAATGCATCTGAGCCTGTGTAGCCAAAAATCCTTGCCCTGGACCTGTGTGTAGTTTAAGAGTGGGAAGGATGTAATGTCATTTACTGTATTTTAAAAAAGAAAACAAAAAAAAAATCTCAAAACAAAATATTTTTCGAGCTAAGGTAATTCAGCCTTTAATTTTAAAACTCTTCACCACTTACCATAAAATAATGAATTATCTAATGATAGATAAGTAGTATTTTGCTTGTGTCTAAAGACTGGCCTTGTTTCTTTTTAAGGCAGTTAACCTATTTCTTAATCCCTAATACCTACCTGGTTGGCAAACCAAATTGTAGCCTTTTTTTTTTTTTGACAATCTTTATTTTCCTTTTTATCATTTTGTCACAGAAATGTGTAGATACGGTGAAACATCAGTTGTAACATCATATTTCTGAATAGCATAACAACATTCGTAGCCTTTATACTAACATTCTCAAATCATAAATATTTCAATAGTTTCCTTCACATGCATTAGGTAGTGTAACATATGATCAGGTTTCAAGGCTCCTAGCTCCTCTTGCATTCAGTGCGCAGTTTGTTGCACTTATGATGTGCACTCTACGTTTAGGGTGAGAACCAGTATCTGGTCTAGTAGCTGTAGGGGGTATTTAAGGTGTCCGTCCTGGAGTACTCCAGGTATCGGTGGTTTGTGTAGTTTGTTCTAGCGGGTGTTATGTCTTCCTGATGTCTGTTGTGGTCGGGGGTGTGAAAACTGTCCGTAGTCTGTGTGTGGTTAATGGGTAGGGCGTGTCTGTGCTTATGAGGGGTAAGGCAGTTATCGTGGTGTTCTGTGAGTTTCAGCTATATTGGCTCGGGGGTTACAGTTCCATCTGCCACGTATGTGGTCCATGGGTACCAGGTCAATGCACACCGCTCCGATTTCCCGTGGAGGTCGGCCGTCAGGGTCTCCATTGAGTATATGTCCTCTACCACTGACATCCATTGCCCCAAGGTGGGCGCTCTTGGCTGTTTCCACATCTTCGGGATAAGGGATTTGGCGGCATTGAGTAGCGGCAGTTCCAGGGATTTTTTTGTAGGCTGTCAGTGGGCTTTGGGTGTGGTGCAAAAGCATCGTTAGGGGTGCCAGGGGGATATCGGTGCCTGTAATTTTGTTGATCTCTCCTCTAATTTGTTCCCAGAAAGGGGCAATTACTGGGCATGACCACCACATGTGGAGATACGTGCCAGGTTGTGTGCCACATCGCCAGCACATACCTGACGTGGTACCGTGCATGCGGTGCAGTGTGTCGGGCGTTCTATACCAGCGTGTTAGCACTTTATAGTTTAATTCCTGATATTTTGAGCTGATAGAGCATTTGTGCGTGAGGGTATAAATCTTGTCCCATTCGTGCGCAGTGAGTGTCTCTCCCGCATCCCTCTCCCAGTGGTCTTTGAACCTAAGCTCCACGTCCCTGTTCGTCTGAGTCGTGAGTAGGGTGTACAGGGTTGAAATTCCCCTGGTGATGTGTGTGCGTTGCACACATAGGGTTTCAAAGTCAGTTAAGGGTCTGTGTAGGTGCCCCTTACCCGACAGGGCTGAGTAGTAAGATTTTATTTGGCGTATCTAAACTGTTCAAGGAATGTAGGTGTTCTGTCGGGGCATAGTTCTCCGATTGTTTTTAGGCCGTTGGTGCTGAGCCATTGGTGTATATATGACCAGTCCGTCGGTTGGAGTCCGGCTAGGTCACCTCGAGTCAGTGAATCTGCCAAGTCCGGGTTATGTGTGAGGGGGATCAGGGGGCTGGGCGAAGTGGTGAGTTGTAGACGGTATCGGGTTGCCATCCAGACCCTCAGGGTGGCGTCTATTAAGGGGTTTTTAGTTTGTAGATCTGCATGCGTAGCAGTGTGTAGCCATAATGTGGGGGGTATGTGCCCTCCCGACTGTTCCAATTCCAGCGTGACCCATTGTTTTGTGGGATGCTGTGCGTGCCAGTCTGTGAGCCTGTGTAAATGTGCGGCCCGGTAGTATGTCTCAATTGAGGGCAGGCCGGTACCCCCCAACGGTTTTGGCAGTTCCAATGTCGTTCTCTTGATGCGTGTTGGGCGCGAATTCCAAACGAATCTGCGGATGGCGGTCGACAGGGAGCTAAAGAACGCCCTGGGGACCGCGACCGGCACCGTCTGGAATAAATAGAGCAGTCTGGGTAGTAGGTTCATTTTGACTGCGTTAATGCGTCCAAACCAAGATATATATTGTGGGGCCCATTTTCTCATGTCTGCCTGGATCTTTTGTAGCAGCGGGTGGTAGTTTTGGTAGTACAGTTGGGTCATCTCTTTTGGTAGCCATATACCCAGGTATTTCAATTTAGTGGGGCACCATTTGAAGCGGAATTGGGTGTGTAGCGTCGTTGAGGAGTCCTGGGGGCTTGGAAGGTGAAGGGCTTCTGACTTATCTGTGTTGAGCTTAAGGTTAGATATCAAGCCAAACCTTCGGAATGCGGCCAGAAGATTAGGAAGTGATATCCGCGGAAGGGTGAGGAAAAACAACATGTCATCCGCGTATGCCGCAACTCGGTATTCTCGCCGGCCGACGGTGAATCCCGTGATACCCCCATCTCGTCGGACCGCCCCCAGGAAGGGTTCCAGGGAGAGGGCAAACAGGAGGGGGGACAGCGGGCAGCCCTGGCGGGTTCCATTTCGAATGGGAAAGGGGGTGGACAGAGCACCATTCACCCGAATCCGTGCCGTCGGGCTCGTGTACAGGGAAAGGACCCATGATCGCATGCGTGGGCCGAATCCCATGTGTGTGAGTGTTTCCTCCAAGTACAGCCAGTCCACCCGTTTGAAGGCCTTCTCGGCATCTGTCGAGAGGAGGAGTAGCTCCCGGTGTTGCGACCTTGCTACTTGCAGTATGTTTAGGGCTTTGATGGTGTTATCTCTTCCCTCCCTCTCTGGGATGAACCCGACCTGGTCCGAGTGCACTAGGTGTGGTAGGTGCTTCGCGATTCGCAGGGCTAGTGTCTTGGCGAACAGTTTGAGGTCTGCATTGAGCAGGGATATGGGGCGGTAGGTAGCGCAATTCGCTGGGTCTTTACCTTCTTTGGGTATCACCGTGACTATGGCCGCTAGTGTGTCAGTGGGAAACCGTTCCCCGTCTTGAAGTGAGCTAAGACCTCGTAGGAGGTTCGGCAATAATACATCGCGGAATGTTCGCAAGTATGCCAGCGGAAGGCCATCTGGGCCAGGCGCCCTGTGGGATTTGGAGATTTTTAATGCTGCGGCTAACTCTTCTGTCGTGAGGGGTCGTTCTAGTTCCTCTATCATTTCTGGGGTCAATTGTCTTTCTACATTTTGGTCTAAGTACTCCGTTATTTGGCCCCGGCGTTGGGCCTGTGTGGTGACCGTCGTGGGCTGGGGGATATTATATAAGTCGGTGTAGTAGTCCACAAAAGCACGTTGGATTCCGTCGGGTAGACTTGTTACAGTCTTGTCTCTAGTGTTAATTTTGTGTATGTGGTTCGCCCTTCTCCTGTCTTGAAGCTGGCGGGCTAAAAGCCTACCACTCTTGATGGAGTATTCGAAGAAGTGCCGAGCCGACTTTCTAAGGGTGCGCAAGAGGCCCTTGGCTAGTATGTCCCGTCTCTGCCTCCTAAGCTCCGTCAGTCGGTGGTACTCGTTTTCCCCCTGATTTTGTTTGTGCGCCTGCTCTAGTGTGGTGATTTGTGCGTTTAGGGTGGACAATTGTTGTGTGCGTTCTTTTTTACGCTGTGAGCATATTTTGATATAGTGGCCTCTAATGACACATTTATGTGCCTCCCAGATTGTTAGGGGGGGGGGTGTCTGACGTGTTGTTAGTGTCAAAGTATTGTGTCAGTGCTTGCCTGGCTTGTTCCTTGTCCACTAGGTCAAGTAGTAAGTTTTCGTTCAACTTCCATTGCCGCTCTGCAGGTTTATGTAGGGGGGATTGGATTTGTACTGTAATGGGGGCGTGGTCAGAGTCTGCGATATGCCCTATGCTAGCTCGTTGGAGTAGTGTTAGGGCCTCTTGCGCCATTAGGATGTAGTCTATTCGGCTGTAGCGTCGATGTACAGCCGAGTAGAAGGTGTAGTCTCTGCCCTCGGGGTTAGCCACTCTCCAGCAGTCAGCTAAGCCACACCGGGCTAAGGCCCTCCCTTTTGAGCGTATGCAGTGACCTGGTATCGAAGTTTCTCCCCTAGATGTATCCAACCTAGAGTCAAGGGGAATGTTGAGGTCTCCTGCCACTATCAGAAGGCCTTCTCTGAATTTGTTTAGTAGGGCTAGCGTTTTAGTTAGGAAGACGTGTTGACGTCGATTAGGGGAGTACAGGCAGGCAAATGTGTGGGTGGACTGTGCTATCGTGCCTTTGATAAATACGTATCTACCCCCGGGGTCTGACTTCTGCTCCGTGCAAACGAATGGGACTGTACTGGAGAGTAGGATTGCTACTCCGGCCTTCTTCCCGTCCGGGTGATTAGCATAGAATCCTGTGGGGTAACGCCCGTTTCTCACGGTTGGCGCCTCTGTACCCTGAAAATGTGTTTCCTGTAAGAACGCCACTGAGGCGCGCTCTGCCCACAGTGTGCGAAGTAGTTGGGACCTTTTTTCGGGAATGTTTAAGCCTCTTACATTGTTAGACCATAGGGTCAGTGGTGTCGGCTTGTAGTTAGAGCCCATCTCTATCAGCGTTTGTTGTGAGGCGTGTGTGGGTATGTGTGCGTCAGTGGTTGATGGGTATAGGGGTAAGGTCTGTCCGGTGTCTGGGGAGGGTGATAGTCTGTCCAAGAGAAAGGCAACTGTGACTCGCCTCGGTTTTTGTCGCCTTCTGGTGTCTGTTCCCCTGGGGGTGAGTCACCTCGGTGGCCTCCGAGTGTATATACAACGTGAGTCCGTTGCTTGGGGTATGCGGTCCCTCTAGTGTGGGTCGTTCGATAGTGTTGTGTCGAGCCTTTCCCTTGGCTCCCAGCTCACCTATTGTGTTGGGTTGTAGATCTCTCCGAGTATGTTCCCGTCCCGGAAACCCCACCCACCTTCGTTGCCCCTCCCTGTCTCGGCCTATGTATGGCCTGTGTATGTGTCTGACTCTAACTCGGGCCCCAAGTTTCACGTCATTCTGTAACTGTTGCTACACGTATTGTACCGCGTCCGCGCAATTGTTTACAAACAATAAAAACCATAAACCAATATAACAATCATAATAAACAGTTGTGGAGCAAGGCCCCCCATTCTTCCCCCCCCCCAAAGGGAGCTCCCCACACCCCCCCTTGGTGGCCCCATTACATGCCTGAGAGGCCCTCGGCTGTCCAGAAGGTGCTGGGATCTATGCTATCGGTCGTGCCCTTCAGGCTAGAGCTTGGGGAGATCACCCTTACAGCGGTGGGTATAACCCTGGTATGGTGGCAGCCTCCCAGCTTCCACCCCCGCACCCCCTCCACCCAAAGGTAGTTGGTGTTCCCGGGCCTTGGCCACTAGGAGAGTCCCAGCGTGGCATGTCCATGCAAAGTCTATCTCCTGGGGGTCCCCACCCCTGGTTGTGAGGCTCAGGTTAGGCCACCCCCTGCTAATGAGGATCTGGACCCCATGTTGCGGGCTTAGGTCAGGGAATCAAGTACATACCAAGTTGTGCTGTGGTTCGACCAGGTGCGTGGGGGGCAATGTCGTCTCGTGGTGCCCGACACCCACAGGAGCTTCCGGTGGTCGTGTCTAGGCCTTCTGAGCTGTCTTGTGGCCTTCTCTCGTAGTGGCTGGGGGGCCGTTGGTGGGGTGGCAGGTTGACGGTCGGGTTAGCAGAATGGGAGGTAGGGGAACAGGTTCATAGGGGACAGTTATTCTTCATGGCTGTCTGGGCCACCCCGCCGGAACCCGCTTCCTGTGAGGCCCGTGCCCGGCCTGTCGCTTACCGCCCGTGGATGCTGTGGTTGTCGCTCCAGGACCCAGTTGGAAATCGTCACCGCGGGTAGACTCGTGGCTCGTAGGAAGCGTGGAACATCAGCTGGCCAGCGGATGATATGCCAGGTTTGGCCCACCCTCGCCTGCAGGCTGAAGGGGAAGCCCCATTTGTACGGGATCCTCCGCTCCCGGAGAATGGCGGTTACTGGACGTAGCGCCCTCCTGGCCTCTAGCGTGAGCGCGGAGAGATCCTGGTAAAGCGAGACCTGCCCGTCTCTAAAGGCGATGTTCTGTTGATTGCGCGCCGCTCTCATGATGCCATCTTTTAAGGCGTAAGAGAGCAAGCAGCAGATTACATCTCTCGGCGGTCCCTCAGGGGACAAGGGTCTCAGCGCTCTATGGGCTCTTTCGATACCGTAGTCTTCTGGGGCTCTGTCACCCAGAATATGGGTAAACAGGTCTGTCAGGAGCTCTGGCAGCGTTTCGTCCGCGTTTTCGGGTAGGCCCCTTATGCGGATATTGTTCCTCCTTCCGCGATTGTCCAGGTCTTCTAGTTGTCTCCTGAGATCTAGTAGGACATTGCCCTGTCTGGTGGTGGCAGTTTCTGTGGCCTGTTGGTGCTGCACAGTCTGGGCTCTGTCTGCTTCAAGGGCCTCTACCCTTTGTTCAAGGGCTGTCAGGTCTTTCCTCACCTCCATGACTTCCTCCCTGATTGCAGTCCTGATTTCTGCCAGCATCTCAGCTTTGTCAGCTCTGGACAGCATATTGGCAGTGATCTTGGCCAGCTCGGATGAAATATGCGCCAGAGTGTCTCCCCTGGGTGAGCCCTGCGTCAGGCTGTCACTGCTGCTGTCCCCTGGGGAGGCCGGCGCCATTTTGGATGCGGCCGGCGCGGACCGCATGTCTCGCGGCGTGCATACATAGCCGTCCATGGGGCCCGAGGTGCGACCCGGTGAGCCGGCTTGTGAGGGTCCCGGCGTGTGGGGTCTCCGGGATTTACCCATCCCGGGTCGGATAGCGCTCGTTGATGGGTGCTAGTGTGAGCTGGGGCCGCGGAGCAGGTTCAGGATGCGTCCTACTCCATACCCGATCAGGCCACGCCCCTCATTGTAGCCTTTTTTGAACGAAAAAAAAACAAATAAATGTAGGACATTTAAATTATTTAGCATGTTCACATACTCATGTATCAATAGGAGCATTTTCATCAACTTGAGACATAACATCAGTACTCATTGTTTCATCCAATATTAAAACCATCTTCTGAAATTTTGACTCAAAATCAAAAATACTTTAAAAAAAATTCGCTAGTCTAGCATATTATACGCAGATCAGCCACATCATTGGAACCACTGACAGTTGTAGTGAATAATATTGATTATTGTTTTAATGGCACATGTCGAGGGGAGGGATATATTGGTCAGCAAGTTACAACAGTCAGTTGTTGAATTGCATGTCTTGGAAGCAGTTAAAATGTACAAACAAAAAGATCTAAGTGACTTTAACAAGGCCAAACAGTGCCTAGATGACTGGGTTGGAGCATCTCCAAAACACCAAGTTTTGTGGGATGTTCCTGATATGTAGTGGTTAGTACGTCATGGCAATGGTTTTCCCTGATGGCAGAGGCCTCTTTCAGCTGGATAATGCACCCTCTCACACTGCAAAATTGTTCAGGAATGGTTTGAGGAACATGACAAAGAGTTCAAGATGTTGCCTTGGCCTCCAAATTCCCAGAACTCAATCTGATTAAACATCTGTAGGTTGTGCTGGAACAACAATTCCGATCCAGGAAGTTACATATCTTGTTGCCAGATACCACAGGACATGTTCGGAGGTCTTGTGGAGTCCATGACTCAATGCATCAGAACTGTTTTGGATACACGAGAGGGACCTACATGATATTACACAGGTGGTTTTAATGTTGTGGTTGATCAGTGTATACATTTTTAGAAAAACTTAATTTTTTAACTTTTTAAAAAATAAAAACAAATTTCCATCTAAAATGCATCTTAGATTTTAATATATATATGTATATCAGGGGCCAAATTTTATTGCACAATTTCTATCGTATCAGCCCAGAAAAACATTTTTTTTTCATTGCGTTTAGCTATCAGACAAATAGACATATGGACAGAG